GAATCTCTTCAAGATCAATTGTCCTCCCACTGTCCCCTTGGCATATGAGTTCTCTCTCGCGAAAGACTCCCCTTCGTGCTACAGAGACCACGTTCTCACTAGGTCTGTAGAACAAGTATCCAAAGGACTTCTGTGGGTAGCCGATGAAAATACACCGCTCACTTCGAGGTTCAAGCTTTTTATGAGTCTCTCGTCTAACAAAAGCTTCACAACCCCAAACCTTGGTATGTGCCAACGAGGGAACCTTCCCTATACACATCTTGTGAGGTGTTTTGGCAACCTTCTTCGTTGGGACTAGATATGGGCAGCGGTCTCTAAGGCATACCCCCATAATGAGAATGGCAGCGGAGCTCGACTCATCATGGAACGAACCATGTCCAACAAGGTTCGATTACGCCTCTCAGCCACACAATTAAGTTGTGGTGTCCTAGGAGGTGTTAAATGTGAAACAATTCCACATTCCTTAAAATAGTCGTGGAACTCGATACTAAGATCTGAGCATCTTGATCTTCCTGCCCAATTGATTCTCCACTTCTTGCTTAAACTCTTTGAACTTTTCAAAGGTCTCTGACTTATTCTTGATTAAGTAGATATATCCATATCTGCTATAATCAACAGTAAAAGTCACATAGAAGCAATTTGCATCCCTTGTGGTGGATCTAAAGGGACCACACACATCTGTGTGTATGAGATCCAACAATCCCTCGCCTCTTTCACAAGTACCAGTGAAAGGTGATTTTGACATCTTTCCAAGCAAACAAGACTCGCACGTGCCATCTGACCTTGGATCAAATGATTCCAACACTCCATCCTTTTGGAGTTAGGCAATGCGCTTCTTGTTGACATGTCCAAGACGACAATGCCACAAGCATGCCTTGTCTAAATCATTAGACGAATCAATATGTAACACATTATTTCCTAAGTTGTCTACAACCATCACATTTTCATATACACCATAACAAGGCAATGCTTCAAAATAAAAAATACCATTATAATAAGCATTTATATAACCACTTTCATTATTAAATGAATATCTAAAACCTTGTCTGTACAAACCATGAAAAGAAATAATATTCCTCGTCATTTCTGACGAGTAGCAACAACTATTCAAATCTAAACACAATCCACTACTAAGCTCTAATGAATAAACGCCGATCTTGGTAACAGGTGACGATCTCCTATTTCCCATTATCAGGTTCATCTTCCCAAGCTCCACATTCCTACTTTCTTTTAGTCCCTGAAAGTCAGAGCAAATGTGAAAACCACATCATGTATCAAGGACCCAAGAATTAGAATGCGATGAATTTTTAGACAAAATTGTATAAATACCTACCGATGTAGGCTTGATCTTTCCATCCTTTATGTCCAACAGGTACTTGGGGAAACTTCGTTTCCAATGCCCCTTTTCATGGCAGTAGAAGCACGTTGCTTCTTTCGGATCATAGGCAGGAGGGGCGGAACTAGATTTTCCTTTGGATCCACTTGAAGAAGATCCATCATGAGACTTTCCCTTCCAGTTCTTTGAGGGAGCTTTCCTCTTTTCCCCTTTTCCTTGTCCAATAGCCAGGACTGGGGTAGCAGCAGGAGTGGATTCAACACTTTTTCCTTTCAATCCACTTTCAGCAGTTCTTAACAAATCTTGAAGTTTGCTCAAGGTGACTTCCTCCTTGCTCAGATGATAAGTCATTTTGAAATGATCATAGCAGGGAGTCAAACAGTGCATGCCTATGTCTATAGCCAACTCTTCATCAAAGTTGACATTTAACTTGAGCAAACGATCCACATACCTATTCATCATTTGCAGGTGGGTCGTGATGGACTCTCCATCCTTCATCTTGGTTGTTATGAATGAGGTGACTATCTCATACCTCTCTTGACGTGCTCTTTGATGGTACTTTTCCATCAAGTCCTGGCACATCTCGTAAGGCAAAAAGTCCTCATAGAACCGCTGCTCAGGAGTCATAGTGGCCACCATAATGCACGACACTTTGGTTGCTTCCTTGCATTTGGCCCTATACTCAGCCATTTATTCGGGAGTAGCAGTGGCTTCATCTATCTCAACCAGTTCCTTGTCAAGAATATGCTCCTTATCCTCGCAACGTAAGGCCATTCTTATGTTTCTGATCCAATCATTGAAATTAGATCCATCAAATGTAACCCTCCTACAAATGTTTAGGAGCGAGAGTGGGTTCGAGGAGTTGTTGTTGTTGGAGTTTGAGCCAGAAGCGTTGTTTGGGACAGACATCTGAAAAAGAAGAAAGACAAGTTTTTGATTAGATAGGAAATCCTTAATATAACACCCAAAATGAAATATTAAGGCTAGGACCCAAGACAATAATTCACAATTCAGAAAAGGGATGCCGATAATCTAATTGTAAATTATTTGAAGGTAGGTAAATGACGATTTACCAATTTCACCACGAAAAAACAAAATTTAAATAAATTAGGTTTTATTAAATGAAATTCCTAGATCTTTTGAGATTCATTGAACTATTCAATGGCATGTTTAATCTCGATTATGCCCTTCAAATTTGTGACTGGGATACCGATGATCACAAATAAGGTGTGAATAACCATGCAAAATAGCTTGGTACTCTCGATGTCATTTACCACCTAATCAATGTGCCGGTTAACCACACACGCTCCATTGATATATGATAATTTACGAGTTACCCATTGCCACCCTTGTTAGTCCAAGTTAGTGTGTCGGTTAACCACACACGCTCCACTAACAACTTGACAAGGTGCAATGTGCAATTTCATGGATTAGCATCAAATTCACATTTTCCTAAAGTAACTAAGATTGAGAATTTAAAAAAAATAGTTACTTTATTTTTTTCATTATATTTATTAATGATGATTTAATGTCGTATCCTACCCGTTTGGCTAACGACCCTCCACTAGTCAAGAGTGCGGTGGGTAAGAATGGATACCCAATGACGGTCATTTTATAGGCCGCTTCCTTAAACACCCCTTATAGACTAGCTTCGTGAATGATGCCTACTAATTGTAAGACTGGCTTTTCTTATACATATATAATATTAGACTTTTAATTTTATATAGTATAAGGGTGTATTTTAAACATTTAAAATATTAGAGTTTTTAATCTTATTTGAAATTTTCGAAATTAATACTTTTTAATTTAAAACTCTAAATATTAAAAACCTTGATTTAATCCAAAATTAAACAATTAATTTAAATTATTAAATCTCATAAGTATTATCCATTAAATTAAATAAATAATTTAACCTAATCCCTTTATCCCCTAGATTTTTGAAATCTAATCTTGGGGAAGGCATTTTCGAAAACTCTAGGGTTAACAAACCTTAAAATTCGAAATCATGAGGGTCAAAGGAAAGGGTTCAAAAAGCCCTAACCAAGTTTCCAAACTAGGGTTTAGAAACCCTAATTTCGAAAAATCCAAGCCCTAGGGTTTAAATGCCATAAACCCTAATTTTGTCAAGTTCAATCTATTATATCAAATCTAATTGAAAACAAAACCAAATGCTCTCATACCACTGTTGGGTTTTATACAAACAATCATATGTGTGCATGCAACCCTAGATTGGATCTATGTTTTCTCTATTAGACATACAAGCATTGAACACAAAATAGAAAACCCTAATATGCATCTAATATTTCGAAATCTACATAAGAAAGATTAGAACACATACCTTTGTTGCTATATAGTAATAACAACCAATTCTTGATGATCATTGCTTTTGAGAACAAGTACCACAAGCGTAGTACCTCTAATGGCTAACAAACACACTAAGGCAATAAGATGAATATGAAAGAGAGGAGAGATGAGTCACTTGCTCAGAAATTCGGCTCTTCTAGGGTTTCAGCGAGGTGCACGAATTCAAGAGGCCAAGGGGCTCTATTTATACTTGAGGCTAACTAGGGTTTTGAGGTAGAAACCCTAATCCCTTAGCTTAGGGCCTAAGCAAGTCCATGGACTCACTTACCTTAGGGCTTGGACGAAAATAGCTAGAACCTTCTAGGGATTTTCGGCCCTCCCTAATAAGGGTGATCCAATGGCCCAAAACCACAACTATCAAATAATTGCAAAACAACCCCTACACTTTTAATCAGTTCCTTTAATCCCGAAATCAATTCCAAATTAATTTCTGATTAAATACTAATTAATAATATGATTTCTAATTATTATATTATTCTTATAATATATTAATAAATCATTTTTATGCACCAATTTATTATTCCAAATAATAAACTCAGCCTCTCTCTCCAATAGTCATCTTGTCTAGTTGTCAGTGTGAAGACAACCCAAAAGGACCATGCTACTATCAAATCAAGTACATATTAATTATAGTTATGAGCTTAGATAACTAATCCAACAAGAACAACACTGACGGGAAAACTATCTCGATGTTGGGGTACCGAACAACAATACATTGAATCGAGGTGGTTATCATGAACAATTCTGGAATTTCAATATATTTTTTAGTTAAATATAACAAAAAGTTAAACAAACATACTAATATAAACTATATACAATATTAGTACATAAAATCAAATATTTTATTGAAAAACGGTGACATTAAACATTTCAGAAATGATATTTCGGACATATGTGTGGATATTTATTTTCAAAAAAGGAAAAAAATAACCCTAAAATTTGAAGATCAAATTCTGAATGGAGCATTCGGGAGCAAGAACTTCGGAATATGAACAGTAGTCTGAAATGAGACATTCTGAAAAAGTGATTATTTTTCAAAAAACTCATTTAGATTTCCTTTTATTTTTATTATGATGTTATTTAGTTAGTTCATTTATTTGTTATTTTTATTTGTATTTTCTTATTTTTTTGTTAAAGTTTTAAATTTAATGTATATTTTTATTCTCATTTTTTATATATTTTAATAAAAAAATTGTGGAATGTTAAGAGATGGAAAGATAATATGGTTTTGGACTAGAATGAGAAAAAAAAAAGGAGGTTGATGTGCCTTGATAGTTGATATTGACATTAAGATATAGAAATGAAAAGAAGACGGTTACTTGGGAAAAAGAAAAATGAAACTCTAAGGACGATGACGATAAGGAACTTTTTTAATGATGGTAAAGCTCTTTTGTTTTAACATTAACAAAATCATATCTTCTTACATGTGATTTTGGTTTTTTATAGATGAAAACGAGGATATTTGGTTTTATTTATATGATAAAATGGATGTAGAAGAAAAATAAATTATATGTTTTCTTAAGAATTAAGTATTAATAAAATTGAAAACCTATTATACATTTTGGTTCGTAAACAAATATTATTATCATCGAAGTCATAACAAGCCCATGTTAGAAATTTTGAGCCCAAGAACAAAGGCAGTTTTATAAACCCAAAACATCCTCAAACCGACGTCGTTATCATCTTGAAGCGTGTTCTCCGATTACCACCGTCCACCGACCTTTCTACCTCCATGCGCCACCTCATCACCTTCTTCAACTGCCACGTTCCGATTCCTCTGAGGTGCGAACTCATATACACAGTCCACCAAACGTAAATATTTTCTTGATATTTCTTCAATTATCCATCTTTAGTCGAGATATCGGTTACTAATCAGATGGAGATCATAAACGGAGGGTTGAACAACGGCGATCTCCGTGGTAATTCCGATGTTGACGATGACAGTGGTGACCTGGTTGTGGATATCTACCCTCTTAGTAGTTATTACTTCAGTTCAAAACCTGCTGTTGCATCCAAGGAGGAGAACGAAACCTTAGCTGATCGCGCACAACGTTTGAAATCCAAGTAGGTTATCTTATCAATTGCAATGACAAATGATCGATTGTATATCTTTATTGCGTTATTCTTAAACTGTTTGTGGATTTTGATGTGTAGTTATGATGCTCATGGCATGAGGATTTGTGTGGATGCAGTGATTTTGGTAAGGTTTGCGATAATACTCGGATTTTGACTTTATTGACTTTTTCATGGATCCTCTGAAACTGCTTAATGTCAGGTTGAATTGTTCAAGCATCCTCATCTGTTGTTGCTCCAATCTAAAAACTGCATCTATAAACTTCCTGGTGGCCGATTAAGATCCGATGAATCAGGTGAGAATTGCAAAACAATCTTCACTAACTCACAAAATCACTTGTTTTTCAAAGAAGGTTAAAAAATTAATCTACTCTGTAGAAATTGATGGCCTAAAGCGAAAGCTTTCCAACAAGCTATCTGCTGATGATGATGATAGCTATCGAAATCAATGGAATGTTGGTGAGTGTATTGGAACATGGTGGAAATCTGATTTCGAAACAATTCCTTACCCGTATATACCTGCAAGCGGCAAGAACCCTAAGGTAATTTTCTTCACCATGTTCTTGCAGTTTTCAATCGATGATGATGATGATGATATGCAGGAGTGTATTAAGCTTTACATTGTGAAGTTGCCATCGAGTAAGGACTTCATTGTGCCAAAAAATTTGAAGTTACTAGCTGTTCCATTGTGTCAGCTTCATGAAAATCGAAAGGTATGAATCTTTAATTTACAGCATCAATGTTGTATTAGATCATTGTTGATGATTAAATTTGGGTTGATTAATTTTGCAGACGTATGGATCGATAATAGCAGGGATTCCGGAGTTGCTTTCAAGGTTTTCTATCAACATTCTAGATACTTGAAATATCATAGGCTACACATGTATAAATATTTAAATATAAAAAGGAAAGGACATTTGTATATATGACTATGTGTATGTTCTGTAGTTAGCTATTAACTTTTTGGAACATCTTGGAATTAAAGAAAAAAGACTTTGTTTTGTTGTACGAGTTTGGTACTTATAGTTTAAGTACAAATCCAAAATTACTTAGTTTTTGTATTTTAGTTATTTTATACGCATTAAAAGCTTATAAATATTTTTCGAAGTTTATCATACAAATAAAAACTACAACTATCGGTTTCCGGGTAGTTTCCGTGTTCTGATTTTTAGTTAGTTTTGAAAAACACATTCCATATAGCGAATGTTAAATATGAGTTGATGGTTTAATGTTTATAGGCTGATTGTTTTTACATTAAAGTTTGCCTAGTATGGGATTATTTTGTTCAAGTAATCGGTATATATAATAGTGAATTGAGAACAGAAAAACACGTAATTATCTATTTATGAGAAACCGATAAAAATGGAAGTAAAAAGAAAACTAGTGGCGCCGTAGACCTTAAATTATTTAAACCTATAGTAGTATTTAATAGTTCTATTAAATTTTTATATTTGTATGAAAAAACATCATAAATGGTCCCTGTGGTTTTCCAAAATATGAAGTTTAGTCCCCGTGGTTTAAAAACGTTATAGATGGTCCCTGTGCTTTCAAAACTTTTGACGATTGGTCCTTATTGCTAACTCCGTTAAGTTCTGTCCGTTAGTTAAATGGCATTTTCGTCATTTCACCACCACAGGGACCATTTATGATGTTTTCTTGTATATTTAAAAAAAAATCTTAAATATAATCTCTCTCTCTCTCTCTCTCTCTCTCTCTCTCTCTCTCTCTCTCTCTCTCTCTCTCGTTTTGACCTCCGGTGATGGAAGGGAATGAGAAACCGACGATTTCACAAATTCTCACCCTCCTCCTGTCGAAGCACCACCCAAACACCCTTAGTAGTTTCTATTCCCGATTCCCCTCTTCCTCTTTTCTTCCTTGACTCACCGGAAAAACGAAACAGAAGGAAGTGGGTTGTTGCCTCCATTCCAGCCACCCCTCCTCCGGCTGCTAAGAAATCCCACGAAACGCCCACCTACTGTCGTTTTCGTTGTCCTTTTTTTTAGTCAAATCTAGCATCGATGGTGCTCTCCATTGGTCGACTGTTGCTATTGTTTCCTTTTTCGGTTCAATTGCTGCCGGAGACGAGTTCGAAGAGGCCAAGAGGATTGCTGGAAAAATGGGCTCCCATTCATCGTGATTCCTCAACCACCATCGATCTACCCCTGTTGTTGCTTCCGATTCTGTTATTCTTCTTGATTCGTCGTAAGGAGATGTTCAGATATCGATGACGACTTCGTCTTCGATTAGGGTTTTCGTCTTCATTCTTCAGTTAGTGTTTTCTGCTTCAAATTTGTTCATCGATCTGCAGATTTTTTTGGGTTCTTAAGTTCTAAAAAATGTTTTATGTTGCTGGAATCGGGTTAGAAAACACACACATAGAAATGTTTTTGTTCATGAAATCATCGATTCTACTTAGAGATGCACAAAAAAACCGGTTTGGCCCATAGGATCCGATCCGATCCGGAAACCGGATTTGGTCAAAACCGGTTTTGACCGAACCGGTTTGGATTAAACCGGTGACCGGATTCGAACCGGATCATCGCTTCGGAGAGGTATTCGGATTGGACCCCGGATCATGAACCGGATTTGAGGGAAACCGGTTTGAAACCGGATTTTTTTGTTACCGTTAAAAAACGGGAAAATTCGAAATTTTTGAGTTTTTTTCTTTTTTTCTAGCCGTTGGAACCCCTAAAAAACGGCTACTTTGACTTTTCTTGACTTTTTGGCCCTTCCAAACACCTATAAATACCTTTCATTTGTTACATTTCAATTTTACACAAAAAATCTACTACTTATTTTCATA